TTATTATTTATTTCAATATTTAGCATATATATTATCACTTTCTGACTACTTTCTCACCCCAAAATGCTGAAATTACCAAATGTTCAAATATTACTTTCAATTTGTATAACTTATATTCTTTAAAATAATAACACTTTGACAATAATATTTTATCTTCGACAATATCTTTTGACTTGTATATCTTATATTTCATAGAATAGTAACACTTTGTCAATGAGATTTCATCTTCAACAATAAAGTACATTTTGATTTGAATTGATTGCAATAATTGCAATAATTGATAGTTACGTACAGCGCCATCTATTCGCAAATAGATCAAGCAATAATTGATAGTTACGTACAGCGCCATCTGCCCGCGAATAGATCAGGCAATAATGCCGATATTTCTGTCAATACAGATCTCGATTTTGAGAGTTAAGCACAAACATGCATACAAACACTCATACATACATACATACATACATACATACATACATACATACATACATACATACATACATACATACATACATACGTACGTACGTACGTACGTACGTACGTACTTACATACATACATACATACATACATACATAAAGCTTATATAAAGCGTGTAAAAATGAGTCGACAAGCTATAGCATCGGAGTTTGGCCAGCAAACCCTCATGCCACACAAGGTCAAAGGCCTTAGAAATATCAGGCGCAACAGCTTTTGACTCTCCATTTCTCTCGATTGCGTTTTTCCAAATATGGGTGACATACGATAGAAGGTCGCCTTTTGATCTTTGTTTCCGAAAGCCATATTGATGATCGCTCAAGGTGTTGAAGCCTTCCAAATATTTGAGGATATGGTGGTTTACGACTTTCTCCATGTGTTTTGATATAACTGATAGCAAAGCTACTGGTCTATAGTTATTTGGAGGATTCTTCTTGCCCTGATTGGGAATAGGCTGAACGCGAGCAATTTTCCAACAAGAAGGGAAACCCCTTCCTCATAAGACAGGTTGAAAAGTCTGGAAAATACTGGCGCGAGTTAATTTGCGCACTTTTCAAGTACGATGACGGGCAATTCTCCATGTTTAGGTTTGTTAAGCTCAATGAATT